TAGAATTAAATAAATTTCGACCAATGTTTTAAATTTTCTTAATTGGCAATCATTCGTAGAATATTTCAACGACGAATTATAACATATAGTATAAGTCGGCCTTGGCGATATAAACAGTATTGTGGTAATGTTTATGACTTACGATCATTCGTACAGTAACCTTGAACAATAAAGTAGTGACGTTTCATATATTATCAAATTCTCTCTCTACATAGTCAACCTTGGCGATGTAAACAGTAGCGCGATAATGTTTTTGACCTACGATCATTCCCTCAGTGGCCTTCGAGCAGTGAGGTAGTGATGTGAGACGTTCTATATATTATCAAATTCTTTCTCTAACAATTACTTTGAACATTGCTTTATATAATAGATTTTCTCTTATCTTTTATATTTTTATTTATCGTTTATACTTGCGAATTAAAATTTATATAGTATATTACAAAATTAATTATATATTATATATAAAATTATATATAAAATATAATATAACCCTCCCATGGAATACTTGTCACGGTGGGAGAGCTTAGTACCTGGACGGTGCCTTGAGGTTTATCTTAAATTTTCCAATTTATGATAAATCTTAAGGTGTCTGAATGGAAAGTTAAGTACCCTTTCGCGTCCTCGGTGCCGCGGACGGCAAGCGCTTCGTTACCGTGTTTTCGCGTTGTAATATTCTCGCGTCGTCGCATTTTCCGAAATCGGGAGTGTCGTACAAAGTATATATATATTAAATATATACATCGCGCGACTAAATTTTTAATCGTACCGAATTAGTGCGGAAGTGCCGTTTAGTATCGCGCGAAAAATAACAAAAATAGCGATGTAAAAATATCGCTCGTGAGTACGGGAGTGTTGTTAAAAGTATCGCGCGTCAACAACATGAGAGGAGGAGGAGGCCTGGAAGAGGCATCTTGCATCGGCGGAGCAACCTGATGGTGAATATTTATTATTATTTGTATACCAATTGGTATAAATTGTACGCATAATAATTCGGTCTTATTATTTAAATGAATTAAAGAGAAAATTAGAGAAAAGAATTTTTATAAAAGTCATATAAAACTTTCTATTTAAAAAACAGTTTCAAAAATTTATAAAATTTTTCCACAAGTTTATCTCTGCTTATTATTTTACACATCGGATATAAAATTTCGAACGATAAAAATTTTTTGAAATATTGATTGCATTTTGTGAACATTATTATAAATAAATTTTATATTTGTATGTTACAGACAACGTAGCTTCGATAACTCCGCTGTTGCGCATCAGTGCCGGTGAGTGAGAAACACTTTTATTTAACTTTAAGATAACCAATTTGTAGAGATTGTAGATGTAGACTGTAGATTGTAGTAATCCGTTGCTTTAAAATGGATGAGCTAGAATTATTTAAATGAAATAACTTTTAATAAATTCTTTCGAAATGCTTTGCATCTATTGCGAAAATATATTGAAGTATTAATTAAAAAAAGAGAATCAAGAAAAGAAAATATTTTGTAAAGATCTTGTCTAATTTATTAAATAAAGAGTACGCATTAATAATTTTATCAATTTTTTATGCTACTTTATTTTTATAACGCGCTCTTATTTTATTCTAATTTCTTATAGCTCATCCATCGTAGAATTTGTTTGTAGATATTGTTTTTAAACTTTACTTTAACTTAATATAAAGCCAAATAATTAATTAATTAAATAATTTGTAATATGATAAAAGTTATACACACACATGAGTTTTATATTTTATTAGAAATATGCAGAAATTTGTAGTAATTTGGCTTTATTTGAGTTAAAATAAAATTATATTCAAATATTTAACGAACGATCATAAAATCGAGCAATTGTTACGATGAGCGTGAAATATTTACGCTCATTTGCCTTTAATTAATCGGCAAAAAAGGGAGTGTTTATCTCCTTTTTCAATCTCTGATTAAAGATCGAGTGAAAAAGGCCAAGATCAACGAAAAGTAAGTTCAACTGGCCTGAAGAAAAGCTTTACGTACAATAGTACGTAATGTCGGACATTTATTCACGCAGTTAGGACACGCGGTTAGAAAATGTAATTAGGGCACGTAATTAAAATACGTGATTAGAGATAGGCTTTCCTCGAATAATTTCACTTAATCGAAAAATAGGATTGTTATAGAGCTATTAGGTAATCGTTCGGATTTTTTAATATTCCTTTTAAGAAGTAAAGGATTGTTAGGGCTATTATGTGATTAATTTACGTGATTAATATATTACCCAGACAGCAAACTTTTCATAATATGTTTATAAAGAACTCATATTTTTGACCTCTTTATAATTTGCATTAAATGAATTCAAGATGTGATTTAAAAATATTACTTTTTGAAACTCTTGAACACTAAATGATAAGCAGCTGATTATGAGTTCCCATATATAAACCTGTTATAACATTCATACAGTCAGAAAAATATCATTTTAATATCAGAAATGTGTTTCTTTACTTGCCACTCTTAACTTAACTATTCAAGATTTATCAGGAAACGTATATAAAGGACTAGTAATTAACACATAAGATTTAAAGTATAATTTTTTTCCTTTTATGAGCAGTAGTGCCAGAAAGAGGACACACTGCTCATACGCATACAAACTGGGAGAGCCACATCCATGTGCTACGCAACATAATTGTGTGTGAACCGCATCTCTTGCTGATATAACTATTTATCAGTTTAATGTCTGACAAACTGAATTTAAAATAATTATAGAATATTTAGAAAATCATTAAAAACCTATTATAAATTGCACAAATTTTCTTAATTATCGAAATTTTTACAATTTGCAATAATATGCATAACTAACTTTTCTACGATCTCGTCCTCAGAATAAGTTCATAATACTATTCTTAAAGAACTCATTATAATTAACTCACAAAGTGTCCATTTAGATGGCGCATAAGATCACAATCTGAGTACCTTAGCATCTCTTTTTGAAAAAAATTGAAGAACTCATAAAAATTTATGTAACTCATAAAAAGCTACTATAAGATGTCTCCGTGTTGGCTGGGTATGCATCTCTTAAATAATCAGGAAATGTAGGTTTAAATAATATTAGGGAAAACAGATTAATAAATATTTCAATAATTAAATTATTAATATTAAGAATTTTTAAGGGGTCAATATTTTTTGATTGTTTCTTTTTATAGGTATTTTATTTATATAAGGATGAAAATTAAATTGTTAACATTCAATAATTTTTATAGTAATACAAATTTTTTTGCGAAATTTTATGTATTTATGTAATACAAAATTTATGTACTTTTATGTAATACGAAATTTTAGGTATGTGAGAGCCCGCTAAATAGGTTATAGGCCGGGGTATGCCGGGGTAAGGAGTATTTTCTCCACGTAAAAAAAAAAGAATTGTTAGAGCTATTAGGTGATCATTAAAATTTTTTAAAATATTCCTTTAATGCTAAGGAAAATATATTAAAATTTTAATAATCTTAGGGATTAATCATCGTTAATCTTGTCTGGACTATGTAAAAATTTTTAGTAAATTTAAATTATAAAATATTATACATATATTTTGGACATTTTCGTGTAATAAATTATTCCATGTTATAGATTATTTTGTATTACATTTGAAATTATATTATATTTTACATTAACTTTTGTATTAAATTTTGTATTGAAAAAAAATAAAATTTTTCATTTTCGATAATATCTTCACCTTAATGGAGGTATTTGCGGGATGAGAAGGTTTGAGTACTCTAATAAACCTGAGAGCTATGTCGATGGTAATATACGCCGATATTCATATAGACTTTTCTTATATTTAAGATAATTTTAAGTATGACCTTAAATATAAAAGTGAATTATGAATATCGACCGTAATTTATACTGATAGGGTCACCCATGCCAAAAGGAGAAGATTAAAAGAGATACCAAGATTATATAAATATTTGTTATATTAATATTTTTAAATAAGAGTACTCAAACCTCCTCACCCGGTAAATGCCTCCGTTAAGGTGGAGATACCATAAGGAGGAGGAAAAATTTTTTATTTTCTTTTAATACAGAATTTAATACAAAAGTTAATGTAAAATATGTTTAAATAAAATGAAAGAAAAAGAGACAATAATCGAAAAAAGAATAGAGAATAGATAATAGAAAAAGGCAACTACAGTGATTTGAATATCTATACCTGAGAACAAATGTCCATAGAAAGTATTCCGATGGAAGAAATAAACATGGCAAGTGATGATATTTGTTATGATGTTAACACAAAAGAATACAATAAATCATAATAATCCAAGAACTCGAAGAAGAGAATATATTGGATAGAAATGCAAATGATATGCATAATGATTGGAAATGATTAGAAACTAATGATTAGAGACTAAAAGAATATGAATACAATTTATTTATTAATAGTAATACTATTTTGTAATTATATTAAATTTTATAATTTAGTACATTGTATTATATAAAGTATTAAGCATAAAAATATTAAGCTGCTATAAAAATTATAATAAAAATATATAAATAATGTTAGCTATATTAGAATGGAACATATGAATTCTTTATATTTTATATAAAGAAAGAGACTTAAAATATTTTGCAACATCTATATTTTTCGAGGCTTAATTATAAAAACTTCAGAAGAATCAATGATTAATTTGACAAATTCTATACATGTGTTAATAATTAAATTTCTAAATAATTAAAAAAATGATTAATAAATATCAAAGATCAGTTTACTGCTGATTAAGATTTATAACGGTTAAACGGTTAAAAATATTTTTATTCCACAGCAGGCATTTTGTGTTTTGTAAATAAAAATATATAAATATATATAATAATATAGAAAAATATTTATTTCATCTTGGCTTTCGGTCTTCTCTCTGGTCAAACTATTTAAAACCACAGCTGAGAGTTGTGAGATTCATAAATTTCCTAGAACAGTCACGCAAATGGCATTGATATCGACACATAAGTATATCGACGATCGATATATATCCTTTGACCGATTGAGTAAATAATGTCTGAGGCATTTCTCGATCAGCTGATTCAATGGTTCGTGCCCTGCAAGATGGTGGCAAGATGGCAAGTGGCATAGTGCGTTGTTTGCAGATTTCGAGGAGGCAATTAGGTGAGTTTCGAGCATTCATTCGTCATCAAAGTGCGCATTGTCAAAAATCGCCGATGTCCTGAACGTATGTCATACTTCAAAAATAATATTTTCATCTATTGCGATATATTTCATGGGAGCGAGGTTATGTAATTAAATAAGTTGCACTATTTAAAGGTCTCCTCGGATCTAGTTTGAGCAGCCAGCAGAGAACGTTCGCCGATGCCGCCCCTGAAGGAAAAGTAAGACTCTTTTTCAACATTAAACTATTTCTTAATTGTACTTTACATCTTTCATCTTCTTTGCTTCATACCTTCAATATATATGCTTATATTATTTTAACTGCAGAAAATAGTATGATAGCATGAAACGCTAAATGTCACTATCCATCTTATCAGCATCTTTTTTCTTTTACAGAAACAGGGTTCACCTCTGTCCGATGAGGATCGTGTCTTTACAAACCTATACGGCAGACATGACTGGCGGTTGAAAGGTGCCATGAGCCGTGGCGACTGGTACAAAACTAAGGAGATATTGGACAAAGGCAGCGATTGGATCATCAACGAGATCAAAATTTCCGGCTTGAGAGGTCGCGGTGGAGCCGGCTTTCCTTCTGGGATGAAATGGTCCTTCATGAACAAGCCAGCGGATGGCAGACCCAAGTATCTGGTGATCAACGGCGACGAGGGTGAACCGGGAACATGTAAGGATCGCGAGATTCTGCGACACGATCCGCACAAGCTCGTGGAGGGCTGTTTGATTGCCGGTCGTGCTATGGGTGCCTGTGCCGCTTATATTTATATTCGTGGTGAATTTTACAACGAGGCGTCCAACATGCAAGTCGCCGTAGCCGAAGCTTATCAAGCTGGTCTGATCGGAAAGAACTCCTGTGGCTCTGGATATGATTTCGATATCTTTATTGTACGAGGAGCGGGCGCGTACATTTGCGGCGAGGAGACCGCTCTTATCGAATCCATCGAGGGCAAGCAAGGCAAACCGAGACTAAAACCACCCTTCCCGGCCGATGTCGGGGTATTTGGATGTCCTACGACTGTTACTAATGTCGAAACTGTAGCAGTCGCGCCTGTACGTATTACATACTGATATTAAGATTTTTTTATACTCTTATATGGAGTGTTTCACACCATCCGTACTACCCATTTAAAAACTAGAGAAGTGATTATTTCAAAAAAATAAAAACATTTTCTTTATAAATCGAGTGCGCTCTATCAAATGGTGATATTTTCAACGTCTGGTTCCGACCGGAAATAGACGATTCAGACCGGAACTGCATTTTTTTAAATAGAACCCCCTATTTTTCATTACTTATTCTTGTAGCTTATCTCGAGAGCTTTCCAAAACACTATAATAAAGTATTTTTTCATTGAGTACTTTTCGAGTTATGAGACATAATTTCTTAATTTTACATAAACCATAAAATATCTAGTAAAATATTCATTTTTCGATTATCTTACCTTAATACTTTTATGTACAAAATAATGAGAGGAATCAATTGGTGTAAAGAAAACACACATAGTTGTTTCTAAGAAAAAATATGTAATTTGCAATTAAATCCATATTTTTTATTAAAATCAACTGTATGTTTTCTTTACACCAATTGATTACTCTCATTATTTTATACATAAAAGTATTAAGGTGAAGTAATCGAAAAATGAATATTTTACAAGATATTTTATGGTTTATGTAAAATTAAGAAATGATTTCAATCCTTATAACTCGAAAAGAAATGATTTCAAGCCTTATAACTCGAAAAGTACTTCATGGAAAAATAATTTATTATAGTGTTTTGGAAAGCTTTCGAGGTAAGTTACAAGAATATGCAATGGAAAATAGGGGGTTCCATTTAAAAAAATGCACTTCCGGTCTGAATCGCCTATTTCCGGCCGGAACCAGAAGTTGAAAATATCACCATTTGATAGAGCGCACCCGATTTATAAAGAAAATGTTTTTACTTATTTGAAATAACCATTTCTCTAGTTTTTAAATGGGTGGTACGTGTAGTCTGAAACACCCTGTATATTATTATACATTATTTTTTTACCTTCGTAATATTATTTATTCATAACAGACAATTTGTCGCCGAGGTGGAGCATGGTTTGCTTCATTTGGTCGCCCACGCAATCATGGAACTAAGCTTTTTAACATCTCTGGACACGTAAACAATCCTTGTACTGTCGAGGAGGAAATGTCCATCCCTTTAAGAGAACTCATTGACAGGCATGCAGGAGGTGTAATCGGGGGATGGGATAATTTACTAGGTGTCATTCCTGGAGGCTCTTCAACTCCCGTCATTCCCAAGAGGTAAACATCCGGCTTATCCGATGATCCAACAAAAATCACGATTGAAATATTCTTTCAGTGCGTGCGACACCGTGTTGCTGGACTTTGATGACCTTATCAGAGTGCAAAGCTCGTTCGGCACGGCCGCGGTAATTGTGATGAATAAGCAGACGGATATAATCAAAGCTATCACTCGTTTGATAAGCTTCTACAAGCACGAATCATGTGGGCAATGCACACCTTGTCGGGAGGGTATCAGTTGGATGTTTAAAATACTAAAGAGGTAAGTATGCAAACTTATAATTGCTAATTCGAAAAAATTATTATTTAGAGGTTCATTGAAAATAATGTAAGCGACCAAAACTAGCCAAAAATTTTTTTGTTTATTTACAACGTTTCATATTCCAGTATATACTTGAAAAGAACTACAACCATATGGTCGAAACGTCGTAACAAATAAACAAAAAAATTTTTTCGCTAGTTTTTATCGATTACATTATTTCCAATGAATCTTTGATTAATTGACTATAATTTATAAAATTATTATTTAGATTTTATTACAAATATATAAATTTTTTTCTCTTAGGTTCGTCGATGGTAACGCCGAAGTGCACGAGATAGATATGCTATGGGAGCTTACAAAACAAATAGAACTGCACACAATCTGCGCTCTGGCGGACGGCGCCGCGTGGCCTGTACAAGGTTTAATCAGACATTTTAGGCCAGAGATCGAGGCGCGCTTGAAAGAACAAAAGCGTGCCATGTCCAATTGAAAAATCGAGCAGCATAGGAACCGGAGATTAATATGTAATAGAGAAAAAAAAATATTTAGAGCAATCCCGGTAAGATTTTATATATTTATTTTCAGTGTATATAAGTGAATTTACATGCGATAGTCACGATTCTCATGTAACAATGTCTTTCGAATCCGGGCTGATCGTTCATCCTGATGATTCGATTAATAAAAGAAATATAAGAGAAAAAAACTATATATATTTATATATTTATTATATTTATATACATATATGTAGATTGCAAGTAGATATTCCTTTTCCTTAGAAAGATTGCAAATTAGGCCAAGAAGCTCGTAACGCATTCAGAGAGAAGAGTAAGTCTGCGAAGCGATGCGTTTTGGATCAACTCATGTGATATTTTATCTCGGACACTTTAGCGCGAAGGAAATTGATGTCGTCAATATCAGAATTGGTTACGATGCTAGACATTAAGGAAGCTCTTGTGAATTACATGAGCAATCCGCTTCTTCTTCGATAATAATATCCCTGAAATGAAATGCCAAGAGACAGCAGGCCAACTTTAGATTTCTAGAAAAATATATGATGTCAGAGAGAGAAATGTTGGGGACATCGCATGCGTAAAATACAAGAAAAATTTGATTCATCTTCAAATATCAATCGAATTTACTTAGGGCCCTAAGATTAACATTTATTTTTTCACATTTGCACTCTCCCATGCAAACAGCGTACATGCTTTTACGTACACTGAGGGAAAAATTTTTTTAAATCAAATAAATTTGTTTTCTTGAAACTTTTACTGTAAATGGAAGGAATCATTTATTTCATTTAAGCAGACTCATTTAATTTTAATTAAATATGCATATTATATTAAGTACATTATTTTCATTTATATATTTTTTATATTTAAATACTATGTTCGTTAAATATATACTATAATTTATTAAATTAAATATATTATTTTTTTAAATTAAAAAATTTAAAATTTTTGGGAACAAAAAATGCATTTTAATAAATATTTTGTAAAATTAAAATAAAAATATTTGATTAAAAATTATATTTTTTTAAGGATATATATATTTTTAAACATACGTAAATAAATACTTAAGCAAACTGACGTTTTGAATACAAATAAATACGTGATTAGTACCCACCGAATACGTGATTATTACCCACCGAATAAATAGCTTTCTTGAGTTAACTAAAATTTTTTTATTTCAAGATAATTTTTTCCTCAGTGTAGTCTTTGTGGGAATTATGGTACATCGCGCACGATGCGAATGCTAGAAGTTACACGAATTATAGTAACGGCACTGGCGGTGTATTATGCAGGTAACGCTGAGACAAACGATATCGTTATATCGAATGGAAAATATTTTTGCCACGGAAACGCGCATTCGGAATGAAGGATAGGGGGAACCGCTTCCTTTCTCTATGAATCATGCACACGATCCGCTCGTTATTTATGGGGGAAACGTAAGAAGTGAGCCCGCAACCGTTCGATAAAAATATTCGCCACTACAAGTGTTCTTATCGAACGATACTTTGCATTTATTCGTTCATCATACAAGAGAATTCGCTAGCGCTAACGTTTCCGCCGACTACAGTACGGATAATTAATGTGGCTTTAAAGATACGGTACAATGTGCGTATACAATACATATATACAAAAGCACACTCATTCGTTCACGGATACAACAGACGGATATTGTCTGTCTCGCTCTCTTTTTCGCTCTCGTTCTCGCTCGCTCTCTCTCTTTCTTTTTCTCTCTCTCTCTCGCTCCTTAGCGCCGCTAAAATCGGAACTGTCTTTTTCGCGATTTTTTTTTCTCGAATTATCATTAGTTACTTAAATAATAAGATTTAAGTTAGCCGTTACATTTTTTTCGGGGTAGCCCGTCTATTTCGGAGAGCTATCCTGGTCGAGTTAGTAAGCGCACACACTGTCTTTTATGGTAGGTCCGTTGTTATCTCTTTATTCTCTTTTAATACATATTCATATATATACAGAGTGTTTCAGAGTGAAATTAATCAACTTTACCAGTGTGTTCTGCATGTCATTTTAAGCAAAGAATATAAAATCTCATTAAAGAAAAATTACAGGTAAATTATAAAGTATGTGTAAATATGAATGTGTAATTTTGGCTTCTTAAGGATGTTTTGTATCTATTTTCAAAATATTGAGAATTTAATGAAAATTGTACAGAATGTCCTTACATATGTTTAGAATCTTCAGTATAATTTTCATTAAAGTCTCAATATTTTGAAAATATATAGTATTAATATATAGTATAAATATATAATATAGGTACAAAACATCCTTAATCGAAATGGTTAACTTTTGGCAGAGAATTTCGCCTTGTGTCAGATACATGGCTAATTTCATTGAATTATATTTAATATCTTTACAATTTTCATTGAATTATATTTATATCTTTACAATTTTTAAATTGATTCACTAAAGCGTTTACAAGTTATAAGGATTTTAATTTGCACCGAATTAACATGTGTTTTTATGGGAAACGTATAACCACGTCGATTCAAAAGCACATGACAAAAGCACATGGAAATAATATTCAGAATTTATTTAAAATTTGCAAAAGTGTAGTTTAGATACAGAGGAAATATTTAGTCAAATAATATTATACAAGTATTAACTGGTTAAAAAGATATTAAATATAATTCAATGAAGTTAGTCATATATCTGTCACAAGGCGAAATTCTCTATCAAAAGTTAATCATTTCGATTAACAAAATTCGGAATATCTCAGTAAAATCGCAATAAATATTAAAAAATATATCTCTGATCAAATTGTAATATCCCACACAATTTCTTACTCAAAGTACATCAAAAGTAGATATATTCGTCAATATTTTGATATTGATTTACTTTTTGCTGAGATTGTACATATAAAACATTCTTAAGCAAAGAATATCTTATTAAAGAAAATCTCATTAAAGAAAAATTACAGGAAAATTTACAGAAATATACAATTAAATTATAAAGAATGAATATGAATGTGTAATTTTGGTTTATTAAACTTCCAATATTTCGAAAACGAATCGATATGAATCTTCTTTAGAATAATCTGCCGAATATGTTGAGAAAGTTGATCGATATCGTTCCGAAACACACTGTATATGCATATATATATATATATATATATATATATATATATATATATATATATATATATATACAGGATGTCCCAAAATTCATAATCAATCTTTTAAAGACAGATTCCTGGGATCATTTGGAGATGATTTTTCCTCAACGAAAATATCGATGAAGGCCATCATTTTTTGCATGTTCCCAATTTTCATCATATATCTTTGCAATTAAGCCTTAAATTAAAACTTTACTAAAGTAAACTCTATTTAAAATTAATTGAAGAATGTGGTTTTGTTAATATTTTATTTCTACAAAGCTTAGTTTACGAAAAACCCCTTATTTCCAATCACTTATAATTCGAAAATTATTAGTGCCCCGACATTTTCGTTGAGGAAAAATCGTCTTCAGATGATTTCAGGAATCTGTCTTTGAAAGATTGATTATGAGTTTCGGGACACCATGTATATATATATAGATATCGGTATCAATCGCGATCAGAACGTGACTTGTAATAGTAAAATAAAATTATAGCACTCTCGCATTTTCACTTTTGGATTGTACTTGTTGAACGAAACGCTTGGTCTTCTTCTCGTCCTCTCTCCCAGACGAGTCGCGCTTTTTTTTTCTTCTTCTTTCGAAAAGGCTCTTTTTTTTTACAAGCTTCGAGAAAAGGTACATTATACACGATATGATTAAAAGCTCGCTGGTCGCTCGCTCTTTGGCATGATCATTGGCTGTCTTTCGGCAAGATCACGCTTATTGTTGGAGACCCCTGCCGCTGGACTCGCGCCATCGCGCATCCAGTTTCGCGATAATACATGTATTTGCCATAAAAATAGATGTGCGCCTCTCTATCGTAGTTACCACACGTCAGTCCCCTGCCTACATAATAACGTTTCTGCACAGGAGGAGGATACAATTCCATCTCCTCCGCCAATCGTCCCGGTTCCTAGAAGTCTATTCTCGAAACCATCCGAAACATTTGCGTTACATGTCAATGGGAATCGAACTACTGTTTCTTAACCGGGTATCTCTCATCGCCGATGAGTATAAGTAGGTAGGAAATGATGCTAATTGCTTGCGCGATGCGTATCATACACAGAAAAAAAGGAAAAATATTTTTACTTTTAACATTTTGAAATGAGATTATATTGCGAAATTTTGAAATGAGATTATATTGCGTTAATTAAAGAAAAATATAATTGCTTGAATGAAGCCATTTTATATAGTTTAATCAAGAAAAATACATTCTTATGATTTAAGATTTAATTTTCTTGAATGGAAAAGAAACAATGTTGGATAGAAAATAACATTTTTAAATCAAAGATTATAATTTTCTTAAAGTAGAATTAAATAATTATATATTCTTAAGGTGACAATTACAATATTAAAATAAAACTATAATTTAATATTAAAATTATTAAATTAATTAATTTATTAATTAAAAATTATTAAATTTCAACAATATATTATTCCTCTCTAATATTATTCCTATAATTTCTCCTAAGAAGATTATAAATTGTTGCGTATATACGAAACAATGAACGCGTTAGTTTAAGTACATAAGTTTTGATTTGACACTTATTTTTTTTCTGCGTATGTTTCCCAGGTTTCGAGAATCGTGACATCCTTTGAAAACCAGACTTGGTCGCAATAGGAAGAAACTGACGATCTAATAACATTTAATGCACGATTGATACCGACGTTATTCATTTCCACTCGTCTTCTCGGTTCACCGACATTCACTACGGGATCTCGCTTTCTCACGCAACGAATATATTAGCGATACATCAGTAAAATATATACGATAATACGCGGAAATCGCAGGGCTTCGTTGAAATTGTTCCAGGAACGAGTCGTCGAAGCGCGGAGATAAATTTATCGCCAAGTTAGCTGACTTCTGTCAGGCCAAAGTGCCCAAGTGGTTCGATGCCAAGAGCAACAGCGGCGAATATAAACCGATATCACCGGTTCATTTCGGTTTCGCTTTCGAAGTCAATCCCGAGGTCAAATCCCGGAGCCGGCGATCATCATTTTACGTTACCAGGTACGTTCCATTCTCGGGAACGTCGCTGGTTGCTAGCGAAACGTGTCGAGTACTTACTCTTCGCGCTGTCGTTTATTCTTGGATGATAAGACGCTTCTGCAAAGAGCGTCGGAATTTTGAGAAATGGATCGAGCGGTATCTCTCGTGAATCAAAATGTCCCGCAAGATCGGAGAGTAATAGCCGGCGACTCTCGTCGCCGTAGAAAATAAAAGAGGAAACCGCGAGGCTTTCTACATTTCTGTACGTCATAAATCAAGACGAACGATACGATCCATCGGAATCCACCGTGCCACCTCCGACAGATACATCAATCTTCTGTCACGTGTTAGGGGTATCTCTCGCTCCAGTGGCAGTGACTTTTTGACTGCCATCGCGCATAAAAGCGGCTGAGACTCGCGTTCTTACAAAACATACATTTGTCTCAGTCTGCCTATAAAACGTTCGCATAACTGATTTTTATAGACGAGTTACATACGCGCGATACACTGCACAGAGTTGCGCTTACGCGAATTGCGTTCGAATTATAATTAAAATTGTCAAGGATCATTCGATTATCCACATTTGTCCATTGTATTAAAAATTAAGAGGAAGTTATCTTTAGCCTTTTTTATCGCCTCGCAACCGTTTCTTGATCGTTAAATCGTGTTGGTCGATAAATATCGCATATATTAATATATATTAATATAATCACAGATTATCTATATATACAGGGTGTCGCTTAATTGGCGTCGACTATTTATATAGCGATATTCCTCGTGGAAAACTGAGTCGAAAAGTCCTGAACCATATTTTTCTATAATGCTTAATAAAGTGATAATTATTGAATAAAGTTGCGCCAATAAGAACCGACCTTTACGAAATTTTCTTTAGGGAAACGCTTTTAACGGAAGAAATATGATTTTTAATGCAAAATAAAGTTTTTCTTATAGAAAAAAAAATGGTTTCAAAAAAAAATGGTTTCAAATTTTTTTAATTGAGTAAAATTGCGCCAATAAGCACCGACCTTTATGAAATTTTCTTTAAGGAAACGCTTTCAACGGAAGAAATATGATTTTTAATGCAAAATAAAGTTTTTCTTATAGAAGAAAAAAATGGTTTCAAAAAAAACATGGTTTCAAATTTTTTTCATTATAGAAAAAAATGGTTCAGGACTTTTCGACTCGGTTTTCCACGAGGAATATCGCTATATAAATAGTGGGCGCCAATTAAGTGACACCCTGTATATTTGTTACAATATTCCTCTGATAGAAAAAAAAAAGATTACTAGAACGCCATTGCTTCCGTAAGTTACAACGAAGTCCTGCGACTTGTAAACATTTGACCGTACAAAGATCTTTAAAAGCTGTTGTAGAGAGAAACGATCGTGGGAACAATCGTTGTGCTTTATTACACTTCATTGGTCGGCGTGACTTTGCGCTGCATTTGCAAACAATTTTGAGATACAACGCGTCTCGTGTTCGTTCACGCAAGGGAAATGTGATTATAGAATTCGAAACACGCCGCACGGGAGGATAAAAATAACAATAATGATGCTCCGATTTATTATTTGCCTCGCAAAATCAGGATAAATATTAGGATAATAGAGCCGGTATACAATATGTCTTTTGTCGCTATGATTAATTCGCATAATAATAGGCTTGTTTTTTATTCCTGCACTGACTGAACTAGTTGAAAAAGTGTACACTAAAACGTTTTTTATTCCGGAACTGATGCTGCTCGTTATTCTAGTGTAGCTGAACTGAGTGCGCGAGTTCCCTGCACTGGCTGCCCCAGGTCTGGAAGTAGAGTGAGCCCCAGTGCAGAGCACTCGCACTGTTTTTTATTCCTGCACTGAACTCTATACTTATTTATTTATTTTATTTTATTTAATTTAATATATGACGCCATGACTGCATGACTGATCCAGTTCAATTCTAGTTGAGTCTAGGGCAGGAATAAAAAACAAACCTAATATAACGTCGTCTCGGATCGTTTCCCGCGTAAGATTCGTCCGCGCGTGGGCTCTTGCAAATCCGATGGGACTCTGCCAGAATGAACGTATGACCAGAATGAGAACGCACACAAACTAGAGAATCGAAACGTACATTTCTGCGCGCGAACGACGGCACGTTGAAATTGTTTCCGCCCTCCCAGAGACGTCACATAATAACGCCGAGTTGTCATTTACATATCGACGTGGCAGAGAAGTCGCAGAAATGCAAATCGAGCGACGAGATTGTCCCAGCAATCCCATTTCTCTCGGATTGCAGCCTCGAGAAATTCGAACGGCCGAGTTACAGGGGTACGCATCTTTGTTTATCGCGTGTGTACGTGTGCATAAGTGTCTATGTAATCGTGTACTTGTACGCGTACAATGGTCAAAAGATCGCTCGTTGGCGGATGGAAGGCACGGGGTAAGGATAATATCTCAAAAGGGGATTCGAGACTCGACGACGACGGCGATGGCGACGGCGATGGTGATCGTGCTCGATCATCCTCGATCTCGTCGGACGAACTATCGATCGTCGCCGGCCCAATCGCTCGCCGCCCACGCGGGCAGGGGCGTCTCGTACTCCCATCCTGGGCCGCAGTAACGCCACGCGTGGAGATACATGACCAGGTCCGAAGGCTTCGGGTCCCTGTACTTGACCTTGCACTCGTAGCAGTGCGGATCGACGGTGACCTTGTCGTTGGCGAAGGTGGAATCCGGCGGTTCCGAGCCCGTCTGCGTTCCTACGGTGACCTTAAGGGACTCCTGCTGCTGCGGCTGCTGCTGCGGCTGCTGCTGCTCGTCCTCGAGCAAACCCGGAGTGGACGACGGCGACGAGCCGTTATCCTTATCGTTGCCGCTACCGAGGACGCGCTCCTCCAACTCCAGCTTCGGCTTGAACAGACTCATGTCGGAGTCGCCATCCATGCCGAGCCAATTCTCGGCGTTGTGGATGCTGATCAGATCACGAACGAGCTCTTCGTCGGTCTTGCCGATGTTACCGCCCTTACCCTTATGCGGACCGAATACCACGTGGTTGTAGAGCGGATCGTTTACCACGGGATAGCCGAGATACTGCAGGTGGACGCGAATCTGATGCATGCGGCCGGTTTGCGGCTTGCACAGAACCACGGACGACTTGCCGTTGTAGCTAAGACGCTTGAAGCGGGTGACGCAGTCCTTGCCTTTCTCCGAGACCTTGCAGACGCCGATCTTGTAGGAGACTACCTCGATCGGTTCCGAACAGATGACCTCCTCTTCCGGAAACTCGCCCTCCACTCGGCATACATATTGCTTGTGGACCTGAAATGTGAAGACACGATATGTACGTTTGCTATATTTCCGAATCATTTAAGGATGCTTTGTATGTAGAATCCCAGCAAAAAAAATAGCTGAAAATCAATAACGACGAATATATCTACTTTTGGTGGATTTTGAGTAAGAAATTGTGTGGAATATCACAATTTCATCAGAGATGTATTTTTTAATATTTATTGCGATTTTACTGAAATATTCCGAATTTTGTTAATCGAAATGATTAACTTTTGGCAGAGAATTTCGCCTTGTCACAGATACATGGCTAACTTGATTGAATTATATTTAATATCTTTTTAAACAGTTAGTACTTGTATAATATTATTTGACCAAATATTTCCTCTGTATCTAAACTTTTGCAAATTTTAAACAAATTCTAAATATTATTTCCATGTGTTTTTGTCATTTGAATCGACGTGGTTATACGTTTCCCATAAGAACACATGCTAATTCGGTGCAAATTAAAATCCTTATAACTTGTGAACTTTAGTGAATCGATTTAAAAATTGTAAAGATATTAAATATAATTCAATGAAAATTGTAAAGATATTAAATATAATTCAATGAAATTAGCCATGTATCTGTAACAAGGCGAAATTCTCTGCCAAAAGTTAATCATTTCGATTAACAAAATTCGGAATATTTCAGTAAAAACGCAATAAATGTTAAAAAATACATCTCTGCACTGTAGTTCCATGCAATTTCTCATACTCAAAAGTGGATATATTCGTCAATATTGATTTTCACACTAAGAAAAATCGTTTGATTGTACCAACAAGACATATATGATTGAAGGCATTTTGGTTTAAATCAAACAAGAATTTCTCAGTTATCATGATAAGACTCGATTTTTTATAACTAGAACGTTTAATAGATTTTACTATAAGGATTTGGTTAATATTTTCTGGTTGAATCTATAAAATTTCTTATTACATTAATTTCTTTGCTTGCTTCTTAACTTAACTCGTATTCAATGTCAAAATTTGCATCACTGTTTATCAGTTTAATTTCTAACAAACTGAATTTAAAATAATTATTCAATAATCTGGATTGAATTTATCCAATAATCTTGTTGGAATTCAGAATATTAAACAAACTTTTGAGATTAGATGGAAAAAATTTTAGATAACTTGGTGCTGGCGAGTTTAATATTATTAACCAGAAAATTTAATAAATTTAACACGAAGAAATTAATCAGATTCATCTGCTAATTCCTACAAGTATTCTTCCTACAAGTATTATTTAAGATTATTGCATAAATTCAATCCAGATTATTGAATAAATTATTTTAAGTTCAGTGTGTTAGAAATTAAACTGATAAACAATGGTGCAAGAAGAGGATGCAGCTCAAACACACACAATCAGAGAGCTAGCGTCCTCTTTCTGGCACTACTGCTCATAAGAGAAAAAAATATACTTTGGATTTAACGTTAATACTAGTTCTTTATATATATTTCATGGCAAATATTGAATACGAGTTAAGTTAAGAAGCAAGCAAAGAAATTAATGTAACACGAAATTTGATAGATCCAACCAGAAAATACTAACCAAATCCTTATAGTCTATTAAACGTTCTAGTTATAAAAAATCGAGTCTTATCATGATCATCACTTCATATACGTCTTGTTGGTACAATCAAATGATTTTTCTCAGTGCGTTTCCCATAAGAACACATATTAATTCGGTGCAAATTAAAATCCTTATAACTTGTGAACGCTTTAGTGAATCGATTTAAAAATTGTACTGAAGATTCTAAACATATGTAAGGACATTCTGTACAATTTTCATTAAATTCTCAATATTTTAAAAATAGGTACGAAACGTCCTTAACGACAAATGAGCGACGCCAGCTGCAACGCCCGTGTTTGTCTTGTATACCGAGCACTTATGCAACACTTACCTGTCGATTTCTTATTTGGTGCTCCATCTGCCTTGCCTTTTTCGGCGTTCTACCAAACAGGAGTATACCGCTGGTCAACCGGTCCAGCCTATGAATGGTCCTGAGATTCTTCAAGTTGTATTCTTTCGCCAGGATGAAGACCACGGTATTATGCCGGTAACGGCCGCACGGATGCACCTGCGATCACAAAACGGGTCAAACGGTCAAGTTTTATTTTCGTATCGCACTTTGCTTCGCAGCATTGAAGATAATAATATAACCTAAACTTGTAGAAAAGGAAGATTGATAGCAACATGATAAACTTCATCCCAGGATAGTTTTAGGCATCTAACCGTAAGATATTTCTCTCCCCCGCGAAACTTTTTCATCGTGTAACCAGGAATATCTATAGGAGTGAAATTTGTAGATGCTAAATTTACAAAGTGCACGCTGTTTTGACGAGTTATGCCTATCGGCATGTGGCCAATGTAAATTGAATGTACGTAAATACGGTCGCGCGCCCGCTTCCATGCAACATCCATGCGAGGGAACGCGGTCGACCCATTTCTCCTGGCGAATTCGGGACAAAAAGCGATGGCGCCCACAAAGGAGAATAGATTCATGACACGGTTTCGAATCGACGCGGCCCGGGAAACGGCACACTTTACATGTTCGGATCAACAAATGTGGATTTGTATGTACAAACGACAGATTGGCCGGTCGGCGGATCGTATCGGATTCCTTCTGGAGCCGATAAGTCCACGTTTCTATCAACACCGGTTACAAACGATGGCACGTATCCGCAATAATGCATGCCCGCTATCGAATCTCGGCGAACCACTACGATAATCCAGCGATTGAAGACACTTTTCTCCACTCGCAAGAGTACCATTCTTTTCAATTTTCTTTCACTGTAAAGTAAATCTTTCAGAATACTAAGATATCCCGTATTTATATAGCCGTTTTTGCTCCAGAACTCGGTTAGGAATGATCTTGATACATGATACGGTTGAAAAAGGTGAAGAGAAATTTTGAGAATCAATTTAATATTCACATTATATTTGTAATTGATTAAGATAGAAGAGAATTTATAATTTAATTGATTAAGAGAGAAATGAATTTTTAATTTAATTTTAAATTTTTGTATCCCGAAGTTTTGTTGATAAATACACAGTTACTAATTTTTTCTGTTTTGAATTCAAAAATATCACCCATTATACAGAGTGTTTCTAAAACTGTCGGAGATTTTAAGGATGTATTCTAAAGATTAAAATAAAAAAAAAGCTCATATAAACATGAGTCCAAAAATGCTTTTCCTCCGAGTTATAGCTTCCTAAAGTTGAGGGAAAAAATCGAAAAATGTATTGTAACTCTCAGAGACTTTTATCATAGAACGTTAAAATTTTGCACAGCGTAATAATTAATAATGAGCTTCATTTTTATGTGGTTTTGACAATTTTCTCCCCTCAACTTTAGAGGGCTATAACTCGGAGGAAAAGCATTTTTTGGACCCATGTTTATATGAACTTTTTCTTATTTTAACCCCTAAAATACGCCCTTAAAATCTCCGACATCGTTTTAGAAACACTTTGTATAAATCTTTTTATAAAATAAATTATAATTTTATAAAATTATGATAAATGTGCTATTTTTTGCTAAATTAAGATAGAAGAGAATTTATAATTTAATTGATTAAGAGAGAAATGAATTTTTAATTTAATTTTAAATTTTTGTATCCCGAAGTTTTGCTGATAAATACACAATTACTAATTTTTTCTGTTTTGAATTCAAAAATATCATTATAAAGTAATCTTTTTATAAAGTAAATATTTCTAAATTATAATTTTATAAAATTATGATAAATGTGCTATTTTTTTCTAAATTCAAATTATTCTCGCTTACTTTTACTATATCTTTTTAATGTATTTTTCTAATATGTCATTACTATACAGTTATAATGTATGATATTTTAGCATCTTTATATTTATCGAATAATATAAAGTCTCTAAATTTCTTTCTTATTTCTAACATTTTTCTAATATATCTCTATCATCACAATTTTATAAAAAATTATGATATAACATATTATACTATTGAAACAACTTCAAAATTTTACTGGAGCTGGAGAAAAGGTCGAATAATTTTATTATCATTGTATGCCGGAAATAACGGAAGAATGAGAAAACGAAGACGATGCGATAAAATACTGCTGTCTTTCCGATTGCATAACGCTTCAACGAAACGCCTGCACGCGAAAATTAATTCGGCCAATCGTCAGTCAACCAGAGATCTCCTCGGAACCACTTGCTGACAGTCTAGAAAAAAGGGGAAAAAAGGTACTCGCGAGAAAAAAGGAGAAACAAGGCGAAAAGCGATCCATTAAATCGCTCCTGTGCCATCCACCGAGTACTCGCGCATAGAATTATTTTTGCATTAATGCCCGGAGTTTTGTTACGCAAGCCCTTGTTAACGAGCCCCGAGGGGGGGGGGGGTAGAAAACGTGGCCGCCGACGCGACATGAATTCGGTTGACATTTGAGAGAAAAAAAGTAGCGGGCTCGCCGAGCTCTCGCAGTACCTATCGCGAATCACGGATTGTCGTAGATAAATAAAACTTGCAATCGTTGCATTAATGTTGTATAATTAACAGTCTCGCGAGAACGAGCAGAGGAAGAAAAAAAGATGAGAAAAAACGACAAGGAAGGCGCATTAAAATTTTCTAGACAATCGTTTCTCGTCTTTTTTCCGATAAAATTTATCCTTTCTCTCTCCAACATATACAGGATGGACCATTTTAATCAATACGCGCGAATATCTCAGAAACACTGCGTTAAATCGAAAAATGTTTCAGACATAAGTTGTATGGCTTGAAGGGGAGCATAAGATGGTGCCATTAGTTTGACCTTGAAGAGTCATTTGAGGGTCACGTAAACATCACCCTCAATTTTTTAAATGGAACCGCCTATTTTTTGTTACATATTCTTGTTGCTTGCCTCGAGAGCTTTCCAAAACACTATAATAAAGTATTTTTTCATTGAGTACTTTTCGAGTTGAGGCTTAAAATCTGAGGCTTAATATCTTAATTTTACATAAACCATAAAATATCTAGTAAAATATTCATTTTTCGATTATCTTACCTTAATACTTTTACGTACAAAATAATGAAAGGAATCAATTGGTGTAAAGAAAACATACAGTTGTTTTTAAGAAAATATATGGAATTGTTAATTGCAAATTACATATTTTTTTCTTAGAAACAACTATGTGTTTTCTTTACACCAATCGATTCCTCTCATTATTTTGTACATAAAAGTATTAAAGTAAGATAATCGAAAAATGAATATCTTCCTAGATATTTTATGGTTATCGTAAAATTAAGAGATTATTTCAAGCCTCATAACTCGAAAAGTATTCTGTGAAAAAATACTTTATTATACTGTTTTGGAAAGCTCTCGAGGCAAGCTACAAGAATATGCAAAAGTATATAGGGTGTCCCATTTAAAAAGTTGGATGTGATCTTCGTGTGATCTTCAGGTGACTCTTCGAGGTCAAACTAATGGCATCTTCTTATGTCTCCCTTCAAGCTACACAACTTATGTCTGAAACATTTTTTAACGCAGTGTTTCTGAGATATTCGCGTGTATTGATTAAAATGGTCTACCCTGTATAATGCAGGTTTATTTGTAAAATTAATCTCCCTTCGCACAAAAAGATTTAGTCTTTTTTTTTTAAAGCACCAAACCTCTTTGCAGACAGATGTTTCATGAAAGGAAGGCTTTTTTGTGAAAGGATCGAATTTACAAAGAGACCGCGAGACATATGTATTGTCGCGCACATACGTTATTACGATTATGTCACGGATGAGAATAGCCGAGATCAAAGTGTTGCTAAAATACAAAAGAAGAGAGAGAGCTCCGCGATATTTCCTCGGCGAGTAAGCCTTTAAAACCGTTAGTTACGCCAATGAATCACCGATACACGGTTTAATGCATCGGATTCGTGGAATTGCATCGCCACCGGTGCTCGCGTCCTTTAGTCACGTGTTTTTACAGCATTCGCCGAGTGTGCGACATTATCGCGGACGGCAATAATAGCGCGGAAAGTAAATTATCCGTGATTTGCGAGCGGCGTAATGCGCGCGATTAACATTTTAATAGCGAGTTTTATTCGTCGCGCGACTTGGAGTCGTTTGTGCGAATCGCCCACACGTGCGCACATTTTTCCCCTTGTGTTTCTCTCTCCTGCCAACCCCCTCGCTACCTCGTTTCTCTCTGTATCGTCCCACATCGAGAAGTATCGGGAGAAATCGATGAGAGCCGAAACGTTGCATTTTAAAAAGCTCAGCTTTGTCGAAGGCTCCTGGCATCTGGCGTAGGTCCGTTAACCGTGCCATGCCATGTTTTGTTTGTCGGTCTGAGAAAAAAACTCACTCGTTAGCGACGATTTAGTCCGCGGCAGATGAAGGGACCGCTAATGAAATCGGGACGCTCGACGCGCTTCCGATTGTCGACGGGGTGAAATTTAATTTGAGGAAACACTCGAATGTATATTTAGAGGAAACGAGAGTCTCTTGACTAATAAAACACAAAAGAGTACTCTCTAAAAGTGAATCAGTGTATTATCACCGAAAAACAGTAAATAGTCACTGATGACAGCGGTTATAAGTACAGCACTGTAAATCAGTGATATTTTATTGAAAGAATCAGTTAATAATTTTGACTGTTTTAATCAGTAATATTTCTCAATATCAGTAATATTTCTTTCGTTATTGTCAGTAATATTAAACTACAATTCATCTCTTTATCTATTTCATGTAAAATTAAAAATTGTATTTATATTTACTAAATATTTATTATATTATATTTATTATATTAAACATTTTATTTCATTTATATTACATGCATATTGAACTTGTTATTTTAAATAGATAACGAATAATTTTCATTAAGTCCCCAGACATTTATTTGTCCGACTTATAAAGATCGATTTAATATCTGAAGCCTCTCTATTGAGTGAGATTGTATCAGAAATTAAATCGAAATAATACTTCTGATTTTAAATGTTGCTCTTTGCAAACTTTAAATAATTCTTATGACTAAAATTAAATACGAGAGAAATAGCAATCATAGCGATAAACGAACGAACTAGCGATTACTGGTTTTACAGTGAATTTTATTTTAACTGATCATAATTAGTGAGATATAAGATAAAATAATACAAAAAAATAAGCGTTTCCACTGAAGATCAATAAAATACTCACTGATTCTCAGAGAAATCTTATTTTACTGTTTAAATTAGTGATATTTTCACTGATATTCACTTTTAGAGAGTATAATTCGGGGATTCTAAATTTAATTTATAACATCGGGATTTCTAACATCGGGAGCTTGCCCTAGGAATAATTTTCAGTAAAAGACGGTTATAAAGATGGGGTTGTAAAAGAGTGAATTGAGATTCAGCGTATTTGGAGTGTCAAGCGGTGGCGATCGCGGTGGAGATTGTCGAGGGGTGTCATTCATGCAAGATAGCATGCGATCCCGCGAATAAATGCGTACGTATGCGTGTGTACGTGAATGTATGCGTGCGTGTAATTCGGTAGACAATACGACAAACAATTTTCTGGCAGTACAGTTCTGGCAGTACACCACTTACAGGGATGGAGGCGGGCTTGTTGACCACGACGACGTCCTCGTCCATGTGTATCACCGTGATCGGCTCCGAGGTGACAGGCACCTCGTGTCTGCAACACACCAATCGCAACCAGCTTAACGTGGCTTTGTTCCGTTTGCACGTCTCACATATACATACGTACGTAACGTGGACGCATATATAGGGTGATTCATTTTAATCTTGACAGGCAAATATTTGGAAAAGTATGCGAGATACGAGAAAATGTTTCGGACAAAAGTTATACGGTTTTAAGGGAGGTATAAGATGGTGTCATTAATTTGATCTTAAATAGTTACTTGAAGCTCATGTGAACGTCATCCTCAATTTTTTTAATGGAACCGCCTATTTTTGATTACTTATTCTTGTAGCTTATCTCGAGAGCTTTCCAAAACACTATAATAAAGTATTTCTTTATTGAGTACTTTTCGAGTTATGAGGCTTGAAATAATTTTTTAATTTTACATAAACTGTAAAATATCTTGTAAAATATTAATTTTTCGATTATCTTATCTTAATACTTTTATGTACAAAATAATGAGAGGAATCAATTGGTGTAAAGAAAACACATAATTGTTTCGAAAAAAAAATATGTAATTTGCAATTAACAATTACATATTTTTTCTTAAAAATAACTGTATGTTTTCTTTACACCAATTGATTCCTCTCATTATTTTGTACATAAAAGTATTAAGGTAAGATAATTGAAAAATGAATATTTTACAAGATATTTTACGGTTTATGTAAAATTAAGAAATTGAAATAAGATTTCAAGCCTCATAACTCGGAAAGTACCTAATGAAAACTAACTTAATTATAGTGTTTTGGAAAGCTCTCGAGATAAGCTATAAGAATATATAATAAAAAATAGGTAAAAAACGGTTCCATTTAAAAAATTGAGGATAACCTTCACGTGTCCTTCAACTATTTAAGTTCAAATTAATGACACCATCTTATGTCTCCTTTGAAACCATATAACTTTTGTCTAAAACCTTTTCACCGAAACCGCCACGGTTTCGAGATATTCGAGTGTTAAAATGGGACACCCTGTACATATATATATATATTCATACATGTGCGTAAATTCGTATATCGCAGTGATATTCGCGCGACAGGCAGTATTACACTACTTGTGGGAAGCACGGGTGTAGGTGTGTCGACCGACTCGAATAGAAGCTAATCGACAGGTGATCACCGATGTGTAATATCGGGGGGAGGGGGACAAGCGCCGTGTTCGATCGTTCGATTCGATAATCGCGAGCCGCCAGCCGTATTCGATTGTCGTTACCGATTTTTCGCGGTTGCCCCGGCTGCGTTTAAAACGCGGGCGCCGAGATATTCGCGCTTTTACGTTCGCTACACTGTAAAAAAAATATGTAAAATTACACATATAATCAGTGTAACAATTACGCTATTTATAACGGAAATATATAAATTCATGTACTTTTACAAAAATTAGTTTTTTTACTCTTTATTGTGCAAATATTCGTTTATATTTGAGAAATTACAAGGTTAAAAGTGTAATTTTTGGATTTTATGTAAATGTACAATTTTTTGTAACATTTATATAAAATTTAAAAATCACACTTAATAAACGAATATTTACACAATAAAGAGTAAAATAACTAATTTTTGTAAAAGTGAAATGAATTTATATACTTTCGTTATAAATAGCGTAATTGTTACACTAATTATGTATGTAATTTGAAATTAAATTTCATATATGAAATTATATAAATATATATACAAAATGTATTATTACATAAACATTTCTAGAATTCTAACATGTAAATTTATTAGTACAAGATGCTTACTTACCATTTAAGATAATAATTTTATCTACGAAATGTAAATTTACTAATGCATGTAAATATACACCTTTAATAGTTGGTCTCAGTATTACCCACTATAATAGTTGTAAATTTACACAACAAATTTTTACAGTGTATATTCCGCGGATCGATGGCGACGAGGCGCGCAAAAGTTGCACCGGCTGGCATTTTCGCACGCGCGTGCGAAGCCGGATAACGTAAAGTGCCGACACGGCGATTCAAACACGGCGTTGCGCTTTTATCCAACATTAAGATAAACAAATTAATCCGCGGCTAAGGGACGGGGCGAGGTGGAAAGCGAGAGAGAAAGGGGGAGAGGGAGAAAAATGAAAAAAAAAAAAAAAGAAATATGCGGGGCAGAGGTGGTGCATCTATTCGCGACGGCCTCAATTATGCATCCCATCCACCTAATGCATTTCCACTTGGCGAAACTACCAGGACCGCGAACGTGCGTCCTATGTACGTGCATTTTTTTTCCACTCGAGCAATAAGCGAACTTGAAGAGCGCGGAGAGAAAGGATGAGCCTTCGGCGCTTCGAGATTGAATTTGCGAAGTCTTTTTTCGTCACCTTGCAAAGTGCCACGTTCGCGGTAAATGGCGTTTGCGATAGCTGCGAATATCGAATAAAACACGCGGCAAACAGAATTCAATTCGGCGAGCAAGACGTGTTCGTAAACTTGACAGATTTTCGCGGGGAAAATGGCGGCTCCCGAAAATCGAAGGCTAATCGCGAATCGATGGCATCGTTAGAGCTCCATTCTCAGAACCGGTCTTGGGAATGGATTGGACGAGCCGGGTGAATCGCGAAAAATACTAAGTCGTAAAAATAGATCGAGGGTACATTTGCAATGGCATTTCATAGTTAAATGAGACAAGCTTATTTTCTTTGAAAATAATATCTGCGGTAGTACTTTTCCAAAAGGCATATTTTAATTTATAATTTAATTATGCATAATTAAATTATGTGCTTGATTAAATTGTAAATTTAATTAACGGGACACGACGGTCTCTAAGACCGCCTCGAGTTGTCCATTATATCACGTGCATAACATTAACAAAACCATGATGTTAGTCACGCACTATTCTAATGTTTCAGCACTGCTCTATCAGACGTTACGTACATGTATTTACCGTCCTTTCCCTTTAAGACGGAAAGTGAATCACTGAAAACACGAATAATCGAGGCTTGTATACTTATCCTGCGCCCTTTACAGTTTTGTTCGATATATTCCACTCCCCTTTTCGCCTACGAGTCTCTCTTTAAGGCGAATTATTCACGAGGGCCAAATGTACTATGCATACGAAACCCGGAATAAGTAACTTCTTCCAATTGGCTGACACGATATTATGCAACCTCACAACGAGAGGTAATAAATCGCTTCCGTCTCGTAAATCACATTTCCGCCCCAACATTTCGGCTTCGCCACTTTCAAAGTATCTTTGCATATACAGACATGCATACACGCTTATATATCTCCTCTCGCCTCTTAAAGTTCGCGACAGAATTTCGAAGCGTGTCACATAAAGGGGAACATTAAATCATATATATTCGATCCTGTCGAGATGGCGGTGGATAACACAATGTGCTTCGCAGAGAAATGTAATGCTTCTCTTATCCTATCTTTAGTGACGCAGGCAACTATTCCAGGTGCTTTGTCGCCTCTGTAAAGAGAGAGAGAGATTCGCTTTCTCCCTCTTTTTCTCTCCTTTTACCATCCATTCCTTACTAATTTTATTCATCAATCTCCAAATAAAGGATATATATAAAATCCAACACTGAGAAAAATCGTTTGATTGTATTAACAAGACGTATATGATTGAAGGCATTTTGGTTAAATCAAACAAGAATTTCGAGTTATCATGATTCGATTTTTTTATAACTAGAACGTTTAATAGATTTTACTATAAGGATTTGGTTAGTATTTTCTGGTTGGATCTATCAAATTTCTTTTGCTTGCTTCTTAACTTAACTCGTATTCAATATTTGCCATGAAATGTATATAAAGAACTAGTATTAACATTAAATCCAAAGTATATTTTTTTTCTCTTACGAGCAGTAGTGCCAGAAAGAGGATGCTAGCTCTCTGATTGTGTGTGTTTGAGCTGCATCCTCTTCTTGCGTCACTGTTTATCAGTTTAATTTTTAACTGAATTTAAAATAATTTATTCAATAATCTGGATTGAATTTATCCAATAATCTTGTTGGAATTCAGAATATTAAACAGACTTTTGAGATTAGATGGAAAAAATTTTAGACGACTTGATGCGAGTTTAGTATTAACCAGAAAATTTGGTAAATTTAACAGAAAGAAATTAATCAGATTCATCTGATAATTCCTATAAGAATTCTGGTTCGTCTATTTTCCAACAAACATACTGATTGAATTTATACTGACAGAATTCTAATTAATGCAACCAGATTTTTTTCTCAATGTGCAAATTTTAGGAGATGATTCTTTGTCGAAAATTAAGGGAGGTTTTTTATATAAATATATACTTTTACATCTCTTCCCTTATACTCCTCCAAAAATGGGGGTAAAAATTAGGTTTTTATTTTTTTCTCAAATTTGGAACGAGTTAAAGAAATGAAATTAGGTGGATATTTTCTACTAATAAAAAGGTTATTTATTAATTTTTTTCAGCCTCTCGTATTGTTACAAAGGGATGAAACTAGCAACCCCTATTTAATTTTTTATTAAAACTTTTTAATATTTATGAAAAACCTTGCTTAATTTTCGAAAGAATCCTCTCCTAAAATTTTTTGCACTTATTAAGAAACACCTGTACTCAGAGAAAAATATCATTCTACTGCCAAGAAAAGCGATTGCTCAGTTTATTTTTCTTCTTTTAAGTAATAATTTTCTTCAACAGAGAATATATTCTTGATAATAGCCTTAAAATCTATTCATCACAAGTGTTGGAAAATCTCACTATCATATAACTCTATACTCAAGAAGAATATATTTTCTCTTCAAGAATATTATAAAATTGTGTCAAAGAAAAATCAAACTTACTTTATGCCAACTCTTGTAGTAAGCAAACCAAATTTTTCTTTTAATTTAATATTCTTGACTAAAACACTGCACTTACTAAAATTCAGAATATATTCAATGAAATTTAATGCTTGTAGTGAACTTGTGATATATTTGCGGATATACAAACTTATGATATACTTAAAATAAATAATATTTACTTGAAAATAGTATACATTTTTCTCTGTGTACAAGAATTCTGGTTCAT